CTTCTCTTTTTTAATTTCTTTCTATTTGCATGTTTTACTCCTTTTCTCTATTTATGTTAAATTTTTACTATTATAATAAAAACTCTTAATAAAAATTATATATGACAGAGTAGGTAATTTTCCATTTGTAATCTTATGTGTGCTCACATAATTTCTTCTATCTTTCCTCTTTCAACAAAAAAAAGCAATTAAGTATAACAAGGCACCTTCCCTAGCCAGGAATGGTACTGAGCTCTCTTCAACCTAGCAAGTATTTCCTATGGCACTTGAGAAGAAAAGCCAATTTTGCTTGAGACTGCCTAGAGCAGACATTACTCTTGGACGTTTCTTCCCAGAGAAGTGGCTCTGGGAATAGAATACATATTACGTGTTTGGTAATGTCTGCTTCTTCTACGGGCATATGATCATGGGAAATAGGAATTTAAACCAAGGCATCTCCAATACTAGTTTGATATTAATGGTTAGGCTGACCTAGTGTTTCAGATTATCAGATTCTCAGATGTTCCTGCTTTGGTTCTAGAAAATTATCACAATAGGAGGGATTTGGCAGAAACACTAGCCCTTGTACAGATGCATTAGGCATAATTTCATCAGTAGCCTCTCCATCAAGTGATTGGAGGAATATCTATTGAAACACATCCTCTCCAGCAGGGTTGATTTGAAAGACCAATGCAAATTGTGGTGCTATGTACCTCACTTGTAAAGTCATCCTAGCTACAAGATTGACTAAAATTGTGGCATCCACCAAGCATGCTAGCATCAAGATGATGAAACATGCCATGATGTAATGGCACAAATGTCTCCATTACATATTTATGTCTTCATAGATGTCACCACATTTGCGGTCATGCACATTTTCTCAGTTGCCTCCTTTAGCCATGGAAACAAATCTTTACAGATTGGAAATTTTTTGATCTTATATTCCCAATTTCCTTTATTTTAAAACATCAGTGGAATTTGAAGTAATCTTATACTCTCATTTTAAACTTATTATTGAATATTTTTTACTCCAGAACAAAGGAAGTTCTTCCTAAGAGCTCTGTTCTGGGATTTAGGCATTTGTTTATGGACCAAACCCTGGGATTGCATAAGGCATAGTTTATAAGTAATGGTGGTTAAGCTAGTTCACTTTTAGAAAAGAAGATAAAGCTTGTCATTGATAATTACCTGCAGAAAAATCTTTGACTAGAACTAGGCAGACCTAAGCTCTGTTAAGTTCCCCTAGATCAGTGGTGGTGAACCTATGGCACGCGTGCCAGAGGTAGCACTCAGAGCTCTCTCTGTTGGCACGTGCACCACCGCCAGTAGCAGGTCCATCAGGCCGCCACCGCCCGGAGCAGGAGTCCCACCCAGCACAAAGGAGGTGAAGCGGCCAACTAGCAAGCTCGAGCAGAGGTGGTAGAGCAGAGCTCACTTATCATTGTTGGACTGGAAGAAAAGAGAAGGGGAAGCATTTTACACTGCAAATGGGATGGGGCTAGTGCCTGCATGATACTCACTAGCCCTGCCCCGTTCTTGCATGATGCAGCGCCTTGTATCTGCACCCTGCAGTACGGCAGCGGCCATTTTTGCACCCCCGGTTTTTGTGTGCCAGAGGCAGCACTCAGAGGCACCTCCCTGCCCCCCCTGAGGGCACCACAATGCTGATGCAGCCCTGGCACTTTGCGATAAATAAATGGGTTTTGGGTTGCGGTTTGGGCACTCGGTCTCTAAAAGGTTCGCTATCACTGCCCTAGATTCCAAATGGAATAAAAGTTAAACAAAAAGAAAGGAATATTTTTTCTTGGAATATTTTCCCTTTTGCTGGAATATAGAAACAGAAATAGAAAAAAAATCTTCCCCATACACCATACACAAAGTCTGAACCTTAAAATAAACCTATTAAAACCATATTTATTATGTGTGCTAAAATCATATGATCTGTGCTATTAAGAACCATAGAAAGCTGGAATTCACTGTGAGAAAATTTATATTGTTAGTGTACTCTGCAGGAAATCCAGATTTCTTCCTGTCTAATGTGTAGATGGAAAAATTAGAATGAACCAGACAAAGATAAAACACAGTAACTTAGGCCAAAAAAGTGATTTACACTATTGCTATTGATGAATGCTGGGTAATAATGTCTGTTTTATTAGCTGCAAATAAATATATATTATACCAATTCTGGTAGGCATAAAACTTTATAGCATATTCTTATCTTTGTCTACTTCTTGTTCTAACAAATTGGATAATAGAAGTGCAGATTGTGTTAAATAGTATTTTAACAGGAAGAAAATTGGTTCATGTTATTATTATTTAACAAAGATCTTTCCCTACCTACTAAGAAAAAAGAGGGCACTGTTGTGGATAGAGTTTTTGACTGTTACGGAGCTCTTTATAAGAATAAAACATCCTGCAAACTGTATATTGTTTCCATAAATTCCTTGTTGAGATAGGGAGATAAGGATTACTGCTGTACTATCCTTATTCTAACCAGTCACTGAACAAACTATTTTTGCACAGTTTCTGATGAATATATAGAGCCTAACAAGTTACCAAATTCTTCTTGAAACAGAAATTATAGTAAGTGTATTGGAATAATAAAGGCTAATTTCTAGAAATAGTGGAACATTTCTCCAACAGACTGCAGAAAAATCCTATCCTATGAAATGCAAAGAGCCGATAAAGTGTTTTTTCTCATGTGCGTGCACATTATCGTAGATTCAGGAAAGGGAAATCATGCCTCATTAGTTCACTGGAATTCTCATTGGAATATTAATGGTAGGACTGACAGGAAAAAAAAACAATAAACACTATCATTGGGATACATCAGGGAATTTAACAAAAATATCATATATTGGATGAGTGTGTGAAATACAGCTGAACACTTCCAATGGTTTGAGTTATATACAGTATGACATGTAAACACTTAAAGCAGAGGACAGTCTGCTCCAAATCTTCAGAAATTTAGCAGAACACTTTCTTTGAACTGCTTGGAAACTAATAATGCTCAGGCATTAATCTATTATTAGATTAATAATTAATAATCCTAACTTGCTGTTCACATAGTTGTGGCAACTTTAAATATGGAGAAGATAACTTGCATTTCAGTGTAACAAAGAATCTACCATGGAACCAAGAAAGATTTAAGATTCTACTCTATGCAGATTAACTTCAGATAGATAGATAGATAGACAGACAGACAGACAGACAGACAGACAGACAGATTTTATCTGCATAGGGCAGAATCTTAACCTTTCTTGGTTCCATTTTGAACTTGTAAAGTACAGCCTCTTTTTGATTTTTGTTGTGATAGCACAAGTTATAAGAAAGCAATTTTAATCAGTACTTTCAAATGGCATATGTACACATATATAGGAAATAAAATCCTGGCAATTATTTTGAGGTTGTTAACAATATATTTGAAACTGGCACGATTCCTATAATAATATAAAATTCCTGATTGGAAGAAGACTGAATAGAAAACAACAGTAAGGAGGGAGAATGTGGGAGCTTGAGTTGAGAGGAGAATTTTATCCCTGAGCTGTCAGGAAAAAAAATACTGCCACTGAAGCAGTCTTAAATAACACAATGTATTATTGAATGTGCAACTAGCAAGCTGATTTCATAATGGGGAAATGCCCAGTTTTGAAGCATCTGTGGGAAAGAAAGAAAAATTAGGTCAATGCCATGACTTTTCAAAGTCACGAAATAGTTGTTCACCAGAACACCTTTCTGCTTCTATACGTCTTTTGTCAGGTATTGTCTTTTATTATGGCACACTTGGATGCTTTGCTAACTACAGTTTATGGGCAAGTATGAATGCCTACAAGCATTACCCCAAATTTTCTTTCTCCTGAACTGTGGAAAAGTGCTGCCAGTGATTGCTCCAGGCTTTTCATGTTCTTTGCCCATAACTTCTCACAGACGTCAGAAATTGTATATTTTATTTTAGGTCTACTTTTCTGATTGGTGAGGGCAGTCATAATTTCTAGCAGGTTTGTTATTATTAAAACATTAAGCAGGTTAAAATTCATATTTTAAACATATGCCTGGAGAAAGATTCCAACCATAAATCTTACATTTTTAAAAAATATAAAGTGAGCCTTTCATCAAATATAAAGTGAGCATTCATCTTGTACAGTATATCCCTTTATTTCTGATAACAATTCAAGAAAAAATGTTGGTGAAGATAGTGGTTAACCAGGGTAGGACTGTAATTGTCAGAATTAAGAAGATGGATAGCTTAATTTCAGCAAATCTGCAGGGTGAGGAAGATTTATAGAGCATAGCTGAGAGGGACATACCCACTCCTTCATTTGATCAGAGCCCTGCTTGCTTTCCCCAGAAGGCATCAGCTGCACAGGAGGAGCAGAACTCTGAATCCTGCTACAAACAGAGGCAGGAAAAGAGTGATCTGGTGGAATAGTGGTTTTCAACCTTTTGTCGCAACATTGGAAATTTAAAAGAGATAGACACTCTCAGGAAATGTCTACCATGCCATGGTGAATGTGACCAATCACAAAGCAGACAGCAAACAAAGCACCAACTGCAATCACCCACCATTTTATCTTCAAAGAATCCCTTTGATTTCTATATGAGGACCCCAGACCTTGTTGGAAATAAGTTATCTGGGAAATCTGGGAGGTTGCAGCATGCCAGTTGCCCATTCATTTTTTAATTTAAAAAGTTTAAACAGTAACATCAAGTAGAGCAGGTACCGGTAGTTTAGTAGTGTTGTTTCCTGAGGTCATCCTGGGGACCAAATTTGAAAGTGAAGTCTAAAGAAGAAGGAGAAGCTAAAAATACATCTCTTTCCTACTTATCTTTAGAATAATTAGTTGGGAAGAGAAAAGGAGGGAAGATTTGTGTGCGTTTTTATGTATCACTCATTAGCTCTTCCAATTTGTAGCAACCAAAGCACCGAGAAGAAACAAATCCGCCCGTCCCCCAACTTTGCAACCTGCACAAAATATTGAAAAAGGTTGTCCTTAGACCGAAAAGGTAAAGTAAAAATATTGCCTTTCTAGAGTAGGACTTCAGTCCTCTTCCCAACAGGCTTAAGAGACCCCATTAGTTCAATCCTATTTGCTGCCATCAATAGTAGCGATTCAGGCTCCTGGTTCCTGGAATATCTGGCTGGCCATTCATCCATATCTCTCGGATGATGCGCTCCCTTTCCTCCAGCCGTTGTGCTCTCTCAAGCTCCTCAGCTGAAGTAAAGACATTCATGTTCAAAGTCCGTTCAAATCGCCGTTGTCGTTGCACAGAGAGGTCTGAGGTGGTATCTGAGTCACTGTCACTCCAGCTACCTTCACTGTTGCATGATGGCCTTTGGGTTGACGACTGTTTGCAATCAGTTTGACAGGAGATTTGGACAACTAAAGCCAACAAGGTCAAGAGAAGTCCAATGCAAATCCCAGACACAAAACAGAGGGCAGCACGTTCAGGGTTTTCTGAAAGATAGAAGAGATTTTTTTTTTAAAAAAAGAGGATAGGAAATATTTTCACAAATAGAACCCTTGCTATTGATAATAACTGTGTTAACTGTTTGCTCTTTTTACAAATCAAAGTGTTTGACAGAGAATACAGATGAGACACAAATGTGGATGTTTGGGGACTTTAATAATAAAATAAACAAGCCAGAGCCAGCAGCCCTTTTTTCACCTTTGTGGGACACATTTTAAAGAAAAATGTTCTCTAAGTTCAGCAGGGGATACAGCACAGTATGTCCAAGGTTACAGTGAGGAGATAGAATGGAGAGGCCGCAAATGTTTGGCTTGGCTTGGCTTGGGCTTTTTGAGGAGGGTTGAAGAGTCAAAACTGATGCATAAAGCCATCCAGTAATGCAATGATCCATTAGTATTTGGGCTTTGATGAAAATTGCTAACCATCATATTGATTAAATATTGACTATTGTGCTACTGAACTTCAAAGGCAAAAGCAAAATCTAGGGGTTCTCTGGAAGTGAGTGTGCAGGCAGCTCAGCAAGCATGGGAGAAAACTACAAGAACAAATTATTAATTATTGTGATAACATAATTGGCTTTTGCCACATCAAGACTCACTGGTGAAAAGGTGAGCAAAATGAAATAATATAACTAGCATATGAAAATAATATAGCTGGAATAAGATTTGTCAAAAGAAATTTTTTTGGTGGGGGAGAATACATTGGAGTAACAAGGCAGATAATCCTTTTCCTAATCCCAATTCTCTAACAAAATATTTTTGTTATGTCTTCTATATTCAGATGCCTCCGAGTAATAGGTATATAAAAATTCAGTCTCTGAAATAAAAAAAATAAACATATGTGCTCATTCATTGGCTGATGGCTTATTTAATTCTCAGTGGAGAATGTATCTCAGAAATCTGAATGCATTTTGAAATGCAATTAGGTAATATATGGATAAATGTATACAGTTAATAAGATGGCTGCTTTATTGAATCATCAATATCCACAGTATGAGTTTCCAACCCATGCAAATACTGTATTGTTTTTCAGTAGCTAAAATGGAAAGAAAAGTGGCAGCAAGTATTAAAAATAGAATCCAAGAAAGTTCAACTGCCAAATTAATAACAGGAAAAATATGCTATTTGGGAACTTTGTCCAATTGGAGTTGACTTTGAAAATGAATCTTAAAATGATAGTAAACAGGACAAAAAGAGAACTAACTATCTTTTCTTCTCTTTAGCCTTTTAAAAAATAAACTAACTTTTATTATTAGTATTTAGGGGGGGAATCTCAAAACATCCATTTTGAACTAGAAATCACCATTTCAATTCAAGACAAGGTATTCCAATTTTGTGAGGCTATTTTAAGCTCAAAACATTTCCAACAAGTTTGAAATAGCTTTGGAACACTGAACTCAAAACAGAATGTTTTGAACTTATAATGCCTGGTTTAGAATTCAAAATATTTTGCACACTTCTGGCAGAACTGTCTGCCAACAGCATTTTTCTTTCCAAAAGGACCTTAATTTGATGGGGAGTGATCACCAAACCTTGATAAGAAAATTGCTTGATGAAAGAACTGCAACAGCTGCCATTACCTTAATGTCCTCAGAATGCCTGTATAAGGTTATCAGTTGTCCAGCAAAAGGAGGACATGTCCTCTATTTTGTCTTCAAGTCCTTTATCTGGCAGGCATAGCCTTAAAATCAAATATTGCCCAGTTTTTTGAATAACTTTTTTTAATGGACTATTTTCACAACAGTAGTCATTCAAACTTTCATGTATTATGATCTTATAAACAACCCTTCTTTGTATCCATCATCCATCAAGAGAGTCAACATCCTAGATTTATATTATTTGTTTTCTGATTCCAGCAACTGGCTTCAATCCACCTCCTTCAAATCTATGATTGCTGTAGTCACATGATTTTTCATGCTTTTCTATGGTGAAATTTGAAAAGCACATCCTCAATTCTATATTATAGCTAGCAAATGGTCTGAAAAATAAAGATTTGTTGGACAAATATTGTGATTGAAAAAGTAGTCTTTCTGATGCTGCAAAAAATAATTTTATACACATATCGGCCTAAGTACATTTTTTCCAGTTTTCACTATAAATTGTGTCACAGATGCTAAGAAAGATGAACAGTGTGTCCTCCATTCCAATTTTCCAGACCTGCCATTGCCTATTTAGACCTCTGGTAACTCTATGCCTGTAGGTCCTATACTGGTTCCCCAAAGCAACTACTGTAGCCCCTTCATCAATACGTTTTGTATTCAAAAAGCAAAACTAGGGAATTAAATCTAGTCTCACAAATGTAATAGCAGAATATGATGTGGATTATATACAGTAGAATGTATAAATGAATAGCAGTACAAAATTTTAAAAGCCAATGGTAAATACACTAGAAAAAAAATCCAAAATAAAACACAGTCACAAATCTTATATTATATTGGTTACCCATTCATGAATGCTTGCTGCAATAGGTGGATTTTAGTAAGTAACTGAAATATCAGTTCCTGGGTGCTTAGTGTACCTCCTGGGATCAAGCCCTTTACATTTGAAGGTCACCATCTCCTGTCAACCTGAATTTTATGTCAACTAATGGTGATATGAAATACGTTTCTCCAGCCTGTAGATGTAAGGCAGCACATGTCAAGATCTTATGTCATATATACTGGGCCCAAATTGTGTAGAATCTTTTACATCAAGACCAGCACCTTGAATTCAGCCCAGGAACATAAAGGCAAGCAAGACAACTATTTTAAAATTAGATAAATATACAGCATATATTAGTTAATGGGGGAATTATTGTCATATGCACAAAAAGGGGACATGAATAATTTGTCATTCTAGAATGTTGTTTTAGTTCTTAAGTCACCCTGTTCTCCCCTCTCTATAACTTCCATTGAGACACCTACTGTAACTGATCTGTTGCTGCTCATTCATCAGTAAAATACTAGGTTTAAATCTTCACTCATATGCCTGTCTTACTTTATTGTCACAAATAATTTCTAGACATAGTTTATGTATCTTTACTTTTTTAAAGTACTGCTGCACAATAATACAATCCTGGCAATTATTTGCACAAGCATATGCTTAGATCCACTATATACCAATTGCTTTCCAATCTTCAAGAGAAGTCCCAGTTAAAGAATATTGCAAGATTGAAATATAGTGATTACTATGAATACAGAGCTCACATCTTCTATAAAAATGAACCACTGTGTTGGAGGCAAGAGTGAACCACTTCCAAAAATATTGCCAAGAACACCTCAGGGACTTATCAAGGCAGTCACCAAAAGTCAACACTGACTCAAAGGCACAAAAAAGACAACTTTTACTAAAATATGATTGAAATATCTTAATATAAGTTAAAATTCCTTTTTCAGCTGACAATAAGCTAATTCTGAATTATAACAGTTGCTCTTTTTCACTCAAATATTTTTAGATAAGCATAATTTTTAAAAGGGCTTTAAAAATTATTATTATTACTACTACCACCGTTACTAACCATTATTCTAAAGAATCAAAAATTGACTTTATTTTCTCCTTAAGGGTAGAATCAAAGAATCAGAAGGAGCACAGAAAAAAACATTTCATTTCCCCACTGGGGGAGGCTTTAAAAATAAAGACCCTGGAAAGAGAATGGAAAGATTTCTTGTCTGCTTTGTTAAAACATAACAAAAATCAGTGACCCTAGGAATTGTTTGTTAAAAAAAAAAAAGAACATCTACTGAAGTAAAACTAATTTAACTGGCAGAGAAAATACATGTAGCCATCAACTCCTCAAATTACACAATAGAAAGTTTATGTTGTCTATATAACCCTTTGAAAAGAATAATGATAAATACTAAAGTTGTGAGGAGCTAAATCTCTAGTGATAACACCAAATCTAACAGTCTGATAGGACCATAACAAAGCTTTAAATAAAACTGTGCTATTCCGAACACTAATGATACAATAGATGCATAATTAGGATAGCAAAGGATGTATTGAGAAATTTAATTTAAATTTCACTGGGGCCTGACTTTCAGGTATCCAAAAACAAGATATCGCCTTTTAGCTTTAACCTGCTGCCTCAATTATGGGTTAAACAAGAATATCTTGAGATGTATTTGACAAAATCGTTGAAAATACTTCACAAATACGAAATTTTATCCTGACATTTTCTCGCCATATTGTAATTTTGATCAGGGATTGAAGACAAAATTGCCTAACTATGCCACATTGCTTTCCTCCTTTTGATGTAGCTCTTGTGTACCACTTAGATCACGATTCCTATAGTTTTATGTCTACAAGCAGATCATTAGAAATTCCATACAATAATAAATATGTAGTAGCATCTTTCCTTTTGTTTAGTTTTCTCCAGAAATATAACTAAGAGGCATGAGATGAAAAATAGAGAGGACTATTTCCCTTCAGGAAAACATTCAACAGATATATCATAAGTGGTAAGAAGAATACCTGTGATGAAGGAATATGCTGATAGGATATTGCTCAATAAGGAAATCTCTGTGCTGGTCCCTGCAGGCTTCATACTTCTTTGATGTTCTCCTTTGAGTTTCATTCACTGGAGTAGCAAGATCTGGGTTAAAAAGTAGGCTTCTGTTTCTTCTCCTCTGTTTTGGAACACAAGTAGATTTGGGATGAAGCACATTTGATTGTAGGGTCCATCATTCAAGCAACAGAATTTTTCTCTTGCCTTTGAAAATTGTAGCAAAGTCCTCCAACCATTTCTATGAAGTTTGACAGTCTGACTTCAGCTGACCTCTCAGAATGTATTTAAAATAATTTCTCCCCTAATCATTTCCACTTTCACGTCACTAGTCAGACTCCTCCAGAGGATTGAAAGAAATACACAATCGGAGGCATTTTTTCCCCTTCCCTGCCCATTTTGAAGTAAAAAGTGCCTTTTGGGGAGCTCCAGAAAAATCAGAGTCAACAGGCAGCCTTCTGCTAGGGAGGGTCTGGCTGTAATTCTATAGCTTGTGACAAACCCATGGCAAACAGTACGCCTTGCCCTCCAGCTTTATTAAATGGAGGGAGGATTTAACTCCCTTTATGATTTCCTAGAGAGGCTGCTTTTTTCATGCTCTCCTTATAACAAAGAAAAAGGCCGCAATTCACCCGAGTTAATGATTGGATTTTATTTGCTGAAGTTTTGTAGCTTAATAGGCAGCTCATTTTTTCAGCTTGAAGGAGACCTTTTCAGATCTTACTGAATCATTACTGAGAATTCACTGAACCTTGATCTGTTTGTTAACTCCTTTGCCAGTAGTGAAACCATCAATAGTTTTAAAACAATAAACAATCTGAATGATCAGTGTCCCTAACAATGATGTACTTCAGAACAAAGCTTTCCATTTATATCAACTAGTTTGGGCTTCAAGGAAGAGAAAAGGCCTGTTGTGTAAAACTCGTGTTTACCCAATGAGTGGGAAAACATATATTTTATGTATGTGTGTTCTGTTTATTTATTTGATCACACCCCCAAAATAGAGAGGAATATCAATAGTAGTATAAGCAAACACGTGTTAACCCTAAAGGTCTGGATGAAGAAACATATTAGGGATATCAGAAGCACACCAGTGTGGGAGAATACTCCAAAGAGTGGTGGCCCACTCGACTATAACACTCTGTTATAGCCAAATTTCCTTTGACCATTTTAGCATTTTTTTCAGAATTTATGCTCAAACTGAATGGTTTATACAGTAGTTACCATGTATTGCAATAAAACTATCTTTACCCAAAACAGTTTCACTAATAGGTGAGGAAGAGCAAAAGATCCCAAATCCTGTTGAAATTCCTTGTGGGAAGCTGACAGGGAGCATCAGAAATCTTCCTTCCTTCCTTCCTTCCTTCCTTCCTTCCTTCCTTCCTTCCTTCCTTCCTTCCTTCCTTTCCTTCCTTCCTTCCCTCCCTCCCTCCCTCCCTCCCTCCCTTGAATTCTTGCCATCTTTCCATTCACTTACAGGGAAAAAGTAAGTGGGGAAGCCAGAAGGAAGTTGCAAGTCCAAGGCCAATGGATGCTGCTGGGTGCAGGAGGGAGTAAGGGGGTGAGGGTCAGGAATGGTACATGGGGATTCATGAGAAGTGCAGCGTGGGTTAGGAAGGGTATGAGGGTGTGCATCAGAGATGCTTTGTGGGTTGGAAGAACATGAATGGTATGTGTAGGAAGGGTGTCTGGTGGTGTTTTGGATTGTATAAGAAATGCTGTGCAGATAAGCAATAGCACATGGCGGGTGCAAATTGGAAATGGTATGTGGGGGTGACCAAGAGATTCCATATGGGTTGAGAAAGGTGTGGGAGGGACGCAGTTTGGGGATGGTGAATAGAAGTACAAAAGAGGTGCCATGCAGATCAGAAAAGGTGTGAGGAGGTGTGTGGCACTGTTGAAGGAGAGCATGTGGGAATGAAGGGTGGGTCTGGGAAGGCATGTGATGGGGCAGGAGAGGTCAGGGGAGTGTACAGAGGAGTTACATGGTCCAGGAAGTATGTGCAGAGGTTCCTTCCTCTTCCTTCTTTCCTTCCTTCCTTCCTTCCTTTCTTCCTTCCTTCCCTCCTTCCGCCCTCCCTCCCTCCCTCCCTCCCTCCTTCCCTTCCCTTTCCAACAGGCAGGTAAGTGACTGCTTCAATGTGGCGGGAAGGAGTGAGGGATTGTGAGACTGGCTGGGAAACTGTTTTGGAATGTTGAAAATAAAGATCACATGATCACATACAACATAGTGGCAGCCAATAGCACTGAAGCAGTCACATCTTTTCCAATTTCATTCTCTTGGGAGTCACAAGTCCTGGATTTTGCACACATTCTGTTATTTTAGCCCATTTGAAGTATCTTGGTTCCAAAATTGTTACCCTTTGATACAGTGAAATGCATTCCCAAATTGTAATTCTACCTGCAGCCAACAGTGGAAGAGTTAGTAGTTCCAGTTCTTAGGAAGCACCATTTGGCATTATTTATTATTAGACTATTTTTACCCTTGATGTCCATTTTGGATTCTCAAGTCAGTTCCAATACCTCTTACAGTGCAAACAAATTAGTACAATGAATAACTATTAATAAGAACTAGTTAATCAAAGCAAATTGATGGCATAATCCAGTGGTGGCAAACCTATGGCACACGTGCCAGAGGCAGCACTCAGAGCCCTCTCTGTGGGCACACGTGCCGTTGCCCCAGCCTCACCTCCCCCACAACCCCCTCCTCACCAGCAGCCCCCCTGGAGGAGAGTCGCCCCCAAGCGTGGCCCACATGGAACAGCGCAGCCAAGGACATGGCAGCCAGGCAGCGTAGACAAGACTCTGCCCTCATGCCCCATCGCGCACAGTTGATGCTGCAGGGCGTGGGCAGAGGGCATGGCCGCCATGGCACTGCTGGGCTGCCTGGGCGATCTGCGGTGAGCCCTGGAGGCGGTGAGTGGCCCTGTGGGCAGGTGGGTGGGGAATGGGGTGAGGGCAGAGCAGGAGCAGGGCAGGGGGTGGAGCAGGGGCGGTGCCAGTTTTGGGGCACTCGGTCTGTAAAAGGTTCGCCATCATTGGCATAATCCATAAAAAAGAAGCATTAAAGAACAAACATGAACAGCAATAAGACAAATATTGCTTAGGTTAATTGGTTGCTACTCAAGTCAAATACTCATTTGGATGGAAGCATCTTGTATTATTTTTTAAAATCCAACAACAAATATTTAAGATGCGTTGTCTGGTGTAATAAATTCCAGTTCCAGGGACTAGTACCAAAAATGGCCTCTCCACTACAGTTTCCCAGATGGTGATGGAACCTCATTTGAATGCAGGTAGTCCTGGGATAATGACCATTTGTTTGGCAGCTGTTTGACATTACAGTGGCGCTGAACAAAAAATAGTTAAGCTCAGTCCCTGAAGCTTTGGCTATTGCAGTGCACCATGGTCACTGCAAGGGAATTTCAACTCCCTTGAAATAATGGTCTCGCATCATTATCCTGGGATACGTATATTTGCTGTCAACTTTCATACAATTCTGTCTGTAGCCATCTTCACTTTGTTTTCGGTTTCCACAGCAATGGAAGGGGGAGATGTATTCTTCTAGTTTAATCATAACAATAATTTTCCTGTGGGAACCTAGGTCAAGCTACATGAGTTTTGGCGGGCTGGAGTTTTCGTTAAAAAGCCTGCCAAAGTAGTTAATTGGTGATTGTGATTTATGACATATTACAGGGGTGGGAAGTTCAACTTATTACACTGTAACCTTGGGGGGGGGGAAAAACTTTCAGTCTTGGTTTCACCTTTGTTCATGCTGATACTATGTAGCCATTAAATGTGTTCTTTGAGGAAAGCAAATGCCTCAGAGTTCTTATTTCTATTGGTCTCATCTATCCGAACCATGACATTTGTCTTCATTCATTTCTACACATCCCACCCACTGATATCCCACCCCCCATCTCTGCCCTTTTGGCCACTCTGCACTCCATCACCCTGGGATTGCCAATGCTAAGAGATACAATCACTACACAACCATGACCTTGGATCAAGCATAGATGCTCTTAAACGAAACCATTTTGCAATATCATTTGGAGCATAAAAAGGGAAAGAAACGCAGCACCTTTTTGAACAAAGGGTGATTGAGTGTTGAATTAAATAAATAAATCCCAGAAAAAGAATGTTCTTTGATTCACAAGTAAAAACAATATTATATGAACATATATATTGATCCACTGAAATTCTTGTACTATTTTGGGGTCTTGGTGATAATGAATGAATCACATTCCTGATTAAGAAAACATTTTTTCCATCAGTTATATAAATAAACAATATCTGTCACTGAAAACATCTCTTTCATTATGATGGTTTCTAAGAATAGCCACCTGGCAGAGTAGCCAGATGAGGAGGAATCAGAGGCACAAATTTGATCTCTTATTCTGCTAAGACTGTATTTTCTTGCCTGCTAAAAAAACACGTATCTACCAAGTTCTTTGATAGGCGTCCATTCTGTAAGGCAATTGCCACAGCGGCTTCTTGGAGACTGAGAACTGGAAAGTAGTATCATGTAAATATTCATCAGAATTTGAGGGGGGAAATGCTGGTAGCCCTCTACCAGAAAAACAATTTTTTATAGCAGAATGGAGTCTCTCTGAATCTACTCTAGAAGGTTGTGGGACTACAGTATGTAGAACTGATTGGGGAAGTGCAGGAGGTTGTAGAAGGCCAGGAGGAAAGTAAATGGTGAAAACACAACATGGGGCATTGCCCGATGCACAGCATGGGGCATTGCCGGATGGTAGTCACTCAGATTTTCCTTAATGGCTTTGCAAGCAACACAGGAGAGGCCCCTCATACATGCTCAAATAACCTGGCAAAAATGGAAATAGAAATACCAGGCTGCCACAATCACTAGCAGAACACAAACACAATAAGAAAGTTAAGCTAAACCAACAGGCATTTTGAAGTTAAAGCACACACACACACACACACACACATACACAAAAGAACTGGGTGTTATTTTTCAAAATGTTAGAAAACTTTCTAATAAGTTTTCCCCTCTATGTATTTTTTACATAATATCCTTATGAGGAAAATAATGGAAGTCTATGATAGTACT